CAGCTGCTGGCCCCCTTCCTCCAACTTTGAGGCTAAAAATGGCCATCGAGCCATGTCGCATCACTGTCACCTGTATGTGGTCATCTTTCTCTCTGACTCTCCTTCCTCTACTTTTAAAGACCCTTGTGGTTACAGTGGGCCCATCTGTATAATCCAGGGGGATCTGCCTACCTTAAGGCCCTACTGATGAGCAACCTTAATTCCATCTGCAACCTTGATTCTTCTTTGCCCTGTAGCCTAACGCAGTCACAGGTCCCAGGGCCTAGGAAGTCGGTGTCTTCGGGGACTATTGGACTACCTACCACACTATCCAAAAATAAAACACAGAGAAAAGAATTTAACAAGAATAAGCAGAGTATCAGTGAGCTGTAGGGTAACTTCTGGTTGCTAATATACATGTACTTGTAATCTCAAAATGGGGAGAGGGGACAGAAAAGTATATTTGAAGCTGTAATGGCCCCACATTTCCCAAATTTTATGAAAACTATAAGTCCAGAAATCTGAGAAGCTCAATGAGTCCTAAGTACTAGAAACATGAAGAAAACTATACTGAGGCACATCATAATCAAATTGCTCAGAGGCTGAAAAAGAAGAAAGACACATTACATGCAGAGGAACCAAAATGCGGCGGGGCGGGTGGGGGGGCGTTGGGGGCAGCCAATTTCTCATCAGAAACAGTGCTCAGAGAACCCTTACCAGGCCAGACCATATTCTGGGGCAAAACCAAGTCTTAAAGGGATTTAAATCATACAACATGTGTTATCTGACCACAATGAAATTAAATTAGGAATCAATAACAAAGATTTCTGGAAAATTCCCCCAATTTGGAGACTAACTCATTTCCAAATAACTCATAGGTCAAAGAAGAAATCCAAAGGGAAGTTATTTGGAGTTGAAAATATTTTGAGCTGACTTAAATGAACACAACACAACATACCAAAATCTGGGGGGTGCCTGGAAGCAGTACTTAGAACAGTGTAGCGCTAATCACTATAAGCAACTAGAGAAAGAAGACCCAATGAAACCTAAAGTAGAGAGATGAAAAGAAGTCACAAAGATCAGAGATGCAACAATGGGCTAGAATACACATTTGCAGACTACAGCCTGTGGCTGGCTCCCTCTTTTTGGCAATAAAGTTTTATACAAACACAACTGTGCCCTTTTGTTTCCATATTGTCTGTGGCTGCTTTTTAGCTACAACAGCAGACTGGGTGGTTATGGCAGAGACCATATGGCCTGACAACCTAAAATATTTACTATTTAGCCCTTAAAAAAAAAAAGTTTGCTAACCAGAAACACAATAAACAAAATCTGTAAAACAGAAAGCTAGGTTTTTGAGATCAAAAAAATTGGTAACCCTCTAACAATGCTGATTGATCAGAGGGAAAAAAGAAGACAAATGATCAACATCAGAAATGAGAGAGGTGACGTTACTACAGAGTCTCCAAATATTAAAAGGATCCTAAGGGTATATTATGGACAACTTTCCGCCAGTGCATTTGACAACTGGGATGAAAGAAATTCCTCGACAAACACAAACTACCAAAGCTCACTCAAGAAAAAATACATGTATGTATTAAAGAAATGGGATTTGTTATTAAAGACCTTCCCACAAAGGAAACTCCACGTCGAGGTGGCTTCACATTGCATTCTACCAAATATTTAAAGTATGAAATAATAGCAACCGTACACAAACTCTTCCAAAAAAATGAAAAGGTGGGAATAATTACCAGCTTATTCTGTGAGGCCAGTGTGACCCCAGTCCCCAAACCAGACAAAGGCCTTCTAGGAAAAGAAAACCACAGACCAAAATCCCTCATGAATACAGATGAAAAATTCTCCAGCCTGAGAAAGGGCATCTACAAAAATTCTACAGCAGATCTACTTAATGATGAAAAGCTTGGTGCTTTTCCCATCAGATCAAGAATAAGAGAGGATGTCTGCTCTCACCACTTATGTTCAGCCCTATGTTTGAGGCTCTAGTCAGTGCAATTAGGTAAGAAAAAGAAATAAAAAGCACCCAGATTGGAAAGGAAGAAATAAAACTGTCTGTGCGGGTGGCCACCATCACCCATGTGGGTGTACGGGCAAGTCAACGGAGAAAGGACAGTCTGTTCCTCAAATGGTGCTGGAAAAACTGGACTTCCATATGCAAAAGAATGAAGTTCAATCCATGCCTCGCACCAAATACAAAAATTAACTCATATACCTAAATGTAAATCCTAAAGCCACGAAACTTCTAGCAGAAAACTTATGACCTTGGGTTAAGCAAAGATTTCTTAGATACAACACCAGAAGCACCCTCCATAAAAGAAAAAAAAAATGGATACATTGGGCTTCACTAAAATTAAAAACTTCTGCTCTTGTAAATACACTCTTTTTTTTAAGATTTTATTTATTTATTTGACAGAGAGCGAGAGAGGGAACACAAGCAGGGGGAGCGGGAGAGGGAGAAGCAGGCTTCCCGCGGAGCAGGGAGCCCAATGCAGGGCTCGATCCCAGGACCCCAGGATCATAACCTTAGCCCAAGGCAGACGCTTAACAACTGAGCCACCCAGGCGCCTTGCTCTTGTAAATACACTCTTAACGGAAAGAAAAGGCACAGACGGGGAGAAATATTTGCAGAGCATAGATCTGATAAAGGACCTGTATCTGGAATATGTAAAGAACTCTCAAAACTCCATTAGGAAAAAATGAACAATCCATTTCAAAAACGAACAAATGATTTCAACAGATATTTCACTGAAGAAGATACACGGATAGCTGTGAAGTACATAAAAAAGATGTCCAGAATCATTAGGCATCTGGGAGCTGCAAATTCAAAGCAGATGCTCTACCTCTGCACACGCATCAGAATGGCTAAGAGTGAGAGGACTGATCACACCTGGTGCTGGCGAGTGGAGCCCTGGAGCTCTCGTACTTTGCTGGCCGGAACGTAATGGTGCCCTCACTTGGGAAATCACTTGTGACCGTTTCTTAAAAAGTTGAACATGGGTATATAAAAATACGCATAAATAAACATTCACGAAAAGTTAAACGTGCAGGCTCAGAGCATCAGGAGGGCAGGACTCAAGGCAGGGGTACAGCTGGGCAGGAGAGCACCTGCCGACCTCTGGGCAGGATGGATCCAATCCCATGGTGGGAACTTGAATGAAGCTTATGCGACATGAGTGGCTCTCTTAGGGAAAAAGAATTTAAAATGTGAAATCAAGACTAGGTACAAAAGTGCGTACTTAGGACAAGCAAGTAACTACAACAAATTCGTGGAGTCCTAGATCCCTTTCTTCTGAGTCATCTTGAGACACTGGTTCAGAGAAGCTTCTGTAGAGAAGCTTCCCAGTGGCACCTGGCTTCCCCCCCACCCCCACTTCAGTGGCAGCGCCCACACCCCATGAATGACCACAGCAGCCCACCAAGCCATGGGTGCCACCTCTCCGGCTTCGGGCTCTGCTGTCTCTCCCCTGGCTCCCCTCCCATCTGCCTCCACAGCCCTGCTGCCCAGCGGGGACAAGGCTTGGGTGTGCAGAAGGCATCCTGGGGTCCCAGCAAGCTTGTCTCCTTGCTCACCACCCCCCTGAGCTTTGGGCCGCACGGGCCTCTCCAGACTGCTGGCCTTGCTTGGTGCCCCTCAGTGAGGACGCACCCCACCTGTGCTCTATCAGAGCACCCTCCTCCGCTTCCTGGTCCTTGGGGGCTTTGCCATGACCACTATCAGACTGACCCCTGCAGGCTGTCTTGTCTGTGAGGGGTGACAGGAGCGTGGGGTGGGCCAGAGCCCAGAGCAGGGGACTTGGGATCCCAGGCTGTACCTCGTAGTAGCTGTGTGAATTCAAGCAAGTTCCATAATCACTCTGTGCCTCCCTTTCCTCATCTGTAAAATGCAGAAAGTAATAGTACCTCCCTCCACAGAGTCTTTGTGGAGATGAAAGAATCCTAGGAGGGCTGATGTGTCTGTCAGTTTGGTCCACTTAAGTGTCCGCAGCTTCTAGAAGAGTCCCAGGCAGGTATCAAGTACTCAGAAAGCACTTGCTCCTGGCTGGTCTCCGTCCCAGGGCTGTGGGCTCTAGCGAGGGGTGTCCTGGGTCTCACAGTTCTCCCTAACTGCTGTCCCACGCCCTTGAGAACCCAGGTCCCTGAGACTCACACCCCTACCCGCAGACAGTCCTGCTTAGGGTCTGAGGCCCTGGGGTCAGAAGCAATCACATGGGGGAGTTACATATTGCAGGATGTTGCAGATGAACAAAGACAAGAGTGTTCTTGAACATCCCTTAAATCACCTATAAAGTTCAGTATAACTGGGTTTTGTGTATATCCCAAAGATCAGTTCATTTACACATGAAAATGTAAGACCCACTGGAGCTACATTAGGGAACAAGTCACTTAATGAACATCAGTCTGAGCTTTCCCACCCTTCCGCCTTTAGATAAGGATCCAGTGTCTAGCCGTGAGTAGGGATAGGGGAGAATTCTGGAGCGTTCCGCTTCATGCTGCTTTAACAGCAAGCCTCCGTAATGTTACTACTTCTGGAGAAGCGGGTCTCCTCTTCAGGCTCGGGAAGGAGGGCAGGCTGTGATGTCAGAGCCTAAGTTAAAAGCACATAGTGATGTTTCACTGTAATTAGGAGGTGGAAAGTGGATTTAAAACACAATACATAGTGAGGCTACTCCGGGTTCTGCGCTTCTCCCAGCTGGCCTCAGATCTGAGTGCTTTTTCCCTAATAGTGTGGGGGCTGGGGGTGCTCTAATGATTTCCGTTTTGATGTGGAAATGTAACAAAGACCAAGGGATTACACTGAAACCTGGAAGGGCCCCAAAGACAGACGTGGGAAGTGGGAAAGGGGGCAGGGGGCTGCCAAAACAGAACCAGAAGCCTGGCCATTGCGGAGAGGTTTGGGAGAGGTGGCCTCCTCCCACAGCAGGGAAGAAGAGACTTACCGGCCTCGGGGTGGAGAGTGCTGTCGCAGGGGTCCTTGCAGTAAGCCTGTGTCTCCTGTCTTGCAGGTGGTGCCGGGGAGCGGGAGAAGGTGCCGGCCACCCCCGAGGCGCTCCTGCTCATGGCCAGCTCCCAGCGTGACATGGAAGACTGGGTGCAGGCCATCCGCCGGGTCATCTGGGCCCCGCTTGGCGGAGGTACTGCCCGTAGATCGCATGCTCACCCTCTAGAACCCTTGCCTTCAGGTAATCATGGCCCTCCGCCCTGCACTGAGCCTGCAAGACCCCTCTCGCCCAGGGCTCGCTGGCTGTGTCCCGAGCGGCCTACAGGAGGCAGGCTGTGCTGGCCTGGGGTGCTGCCAGTCCCCAAGAGTCACACCTCCTGTGTGCCGGGGTGGGGGGGGCAGCGGGGGACATCGGGGCAACTTTCCAAAACATGCCCTCCTCCAGTGAGAGTGCTGTGGCGGGCGCGTGCCTGCCTCGCTGCATCCAGAGCCCTGCTGGACAGTGGACGTCCGCGAGGTGGTGTGCACCAGGCACGGTGTCCCCCCCCTGCTGTGCCTCGCTGCGCACACAGTCTGCTCCCGGGTCCCATCTCACAGCAGTGGCCTCCATTTACTCCCTCCGCCTTGACTAGGAGCACTGATTGGGTGCCTGAAACGTACTTGTAATACCGCTTGTATTCCAGGCACTAGGAATTCAGTAATAAACAAAATAGAGGATTCCTCCTCCCTCCCCCCATCCTTCGTCCAGCGGGAGACAGACAATAAGCAGTAAAGATGTCACATGATGTCGAGTAGAGAGAAACAGAATGAAGTAAAGCTCAGCAGGATGGTAGAGGACGCTGTGTTAGATGCGGTAGCCCAGCCAGCTCAATGAAGTGGCCAAAAGAGCCAGGGGAATGCTGGGTGAGGAGCACTCAGGCAGAGGAATCAGCGAGTGCAAAGGCCCTGAGGTGGGAATGAGTGATGTGAACACAGGGAATCTTGGGAAGGCCAGCAGGTCTCAGGGAGTGAGGACGGGAGAGTGGAGGATGTGAGGCAGGAGAGGTCACCGAGGCCTTGGGGACATGGTGGGGATCTCAGATTTTGTTCTAAATTGATGGGGCACCAAGGAGGGCTCTGAGCAGGAGAGAGACACGACCTGGCTCAGATTTATAAAAGGCCCTCTGGCCACCACGTGAGGGGTGGAGCATCGAGAGACAAGAGTGGGCGCAGCAGGCTGAGACAGCCCTCAGACACGGGCGATGGGGGCCGGGGCTGGCGTGGGAGTGGAGGAGACAGTGAAGCGAGCCCGGCCGCAGGTGTGTTCTGAAGGTGGAGCTGCTGGGCTTTGCTGAGGGACGTGGGGTGCGAGAGAAAGGAAGGATGGCCCCCGGCTGTGCAGTTGCTGTCTCTGTAGGTTGGTGGCCCTCTGCAGTCATCATGAAAGAGCTTGTAGAAGGGGTCGCCCCGCGGGCCGGGCCGGGTTCACCAACTCCCTGCTGAGCGTGGAGACCAGGGGCTGCTGGCCTGTGACCGGGCGAGCCGTGAACGCCCCCTCTCCCCCGCACAGTGTCTGAGTGGTGGACGGTCAGGCGGCGGCAGAAGCTCGCCTGTGGGGGCCCAGAGCCCATCTCCAGACCCCGGGTGCCCTAGAGGCCGAGCCCCTTCCTCACGCCTCACCTCGCCATCTCTCTCTCCTTTGTCATTGCCGGCTGCGGCCTGCCCGACCGCCCTTCCGAGAGCCATGAATCCTCATGGAGGAGAGCTGATAGCATTTCCAAAGTCCGGTGTTCTCCCACGTGGCATAAATGGCCTCACCCTGTTAGCCATGGCCTCCCTGCTCCTGATGATCGCAGCAACTTTGACCCCAGACCCAGGCCCACCCAGGGATTTCTGCAGCCTTCACAGACTTCCTTCGGTGCAGGGTGGTTGAAATTGAACCCATGGAACGAAGTAGAGCCCAGAGACAGGCCCTCATGCAGCTGGACTTTGATGATGAAAGGTCCACCTTTGAACACCGGGGGAAGAAGAACATCATTGTGACCTTGGGGTAGAGAGAGAGTTTTTGCAGGAGTTCCGAAAGTCATTAATCTTATAGGAAAAGGCTGATAAATTGTCCTCCACAGGATGAAGAGCGTCTGTTACTAAAAGGCAGATTAGGAAAATGAACAGACAAGCTCACAGGGTGAACTTTGCGAACTCCTGCGAAGACAGACAAGCCAGTAGAAGCTCGGGCAGGAGACTCGAACAGGCACTTCACCCAAACAGAAATCCTCGTGACCAGTGAACACAGGCCGCGGTGCTCCACCCACTGGTGCTCAGGGAGGTGCGTGGGAAAGCACGACACCCGCCAGAAAGCCTGAACGAGAAAGGCGGGTGGTTCCAAGGGGTGACGCGGACAGAGAGCTCCAGGCACCTGTGCGACTCGCTGGGGAAACCTGCAGGATCTGCGGCGGCCGATGCTACGCACACCGAGGCCCCAGTAGCTCCACAGCTCCGCATGTCCCGGGTGGAAATCTGGGCGCACGGGGCGCCTGGCGGGTGCAGTCGGTTAACGGTCCGACTCTTGATTTTGGCTCAGGTCGCGATCTCAGGGTTGTGAGATCGAGCCCCACATCCAGCTCTGCACTTAGTGTGGAGTCTGCCTGAGATTCTCTCTCTCCCTCTTCTCCTCTTCCCGCTCGTGCTCTCTCAAAAGCAAAAACAAAAACAGTGCACGTGACTTGTATGGGTCACGTGTTCCCAGCAGCCTTACCCATGCCGGCCGGGCGCTAACCCGGTGTTTAGGAACAACGCCCTGGGTAACTACAGATGATTCGTTCTCGCAGCAGAAACCCACCAGCAATGAGAAAGAATTAACTATGGCCCCACCTGGCAACACGCCTGAATCCTAAACACGTACAGTGGGACTCGGGAGGCCCAGTAACATGCTATAGGTATGATTCCATTTCTATAAAGCCGAAAAATAGGGCAGCAGGAAACTGTATTATTTGGGGATAGACAATGAGGCAGCAGAAAGAAAGAAAGGCAGAGAAATGAATGCCATGGTCCTAGTGGCACAGACGTTCACTTTGCAATAATGTGTAGTCTGCACACGTGCGCCTGAAGTACGTTCCTGGATGTACACGTATTTCAATATATAAAATATAAAAAATAAAAATAAAGAGAAACTAAAGGCCGAAGAGGCTACGTAATTTGCCCAAGACTCCCCAGCCCGTCAGGGAGCAAAGTTGAGAAACGAAGGTGGGTGCTCTGACCCCAGACGCCGTTGTGCTTTGACTTGGACTGCGCAGGGCTCTGGCACAGCCCGTCTACGCGCGGAGCCGGCTTCCGGCCACACGTCTATGTCTCCCTCTGTCTTTGTCTCGCCCCCTCCCTCCCTGCCTCCTCTGTGCTTGTGCACAACTGGGACCCTTCGCAGAGTCCCACGTAGAACCCAGATGCGTCCCTCCCTCTGCCCCCCCAGCGTTTATCAAATTTCTCAGGCTGTGTGCTGAAGAACGTGGAAGAATTAAAACAGGAACCATCATCAAAGGCGCTTATCTCCTTTCCACCCACAGCGTAGAGGAAACGCAGAAATCCCGGGGGTTAGCGATGCCAGACGTGTCTGGGCAAGCCGTGGGCACTCGCAGGTGGGTGCAGTCAGCCTCAGCAGCTTTCCTGGCAAAGCGGTTATTAGCCTGGGTTCCCCTGGAAAGGAGGCTTAGAGGATCGGTCCTTCTTTCACTGTTCATCACGGAGCCCACGAGCCCTTTCAGGCATGGTTGTTCTGGCAGAGAGTGGGCCACCTCTGACAGCCGGGAGCGGGTAGCGTGCCTGCTGCAGTCAGGGGAGAGCCCAGCTGTCCCCACAGAGAAAGTGGGGGGCAGATGCGCGGGGTCGGTGGAGCCTGTTACCGCGGATGGCCTGCCCAGAGGTGACCTGGACCGCGGTACCACTTGTCTGGGCATTCATTCATTGCGCCAGTCATTCATTCACTTGGGAATGTGTTCTAGGGGCTGGGGGTACAGCAGTGAGCAGGACAGACAAGGTCCCTGCCCTCCCTCATGAAGCGCACATTCTAGAAGAGAAACCAGGGAACAAGTGAGATAAGGAAGCCCATTGCAGGTTAGACGACGATGAGCTCAGTGGAGAAAGATAAGGTGGGGAGAGCAAGCAAGAATGATGGGGGTCGGAGTTTCAGGACCTTTGAGTAAAGGACATGAAAGGGTGAATTACACACGTATCCGGGCAGAGAGTTTCGGAGGCAAAGACAGCAGTGTCCATGTTGGAAGAACAGCAAGGAAGCCGGTGTGCCTGGAGCAAAGTCTGCGAAGAGGGCACAAGCAGGAAACAGGTCAGAGAGGCGGGGGTATGTAAGTCAGTAGGGCCTTGTCGTCATGGTGACCCTGGCTTTTCCTGAGTACCTTGGTGCCGTGAGTGGGTTTTGAACAAAGAATGGCAGAGCCTGACTCGGGTTCTGACAGGATCCCTTTGGCCACGTGCTGAGAAGAGATCGAAGAAGGCAAGGACAGAAGCAGGGCGATCGGGTAGGAGCTCATTATTCAATAATGCCAGTGAGAAATGGTGGCAGCTTGGTCCTGGGTGGTATTGGTGATGAGATGTAAGGACCAGGGCTGAGCCCTGAGCTGCTCCCAGGTGAGAAGTCAGGGGCAGAGGAAGAGCCAGCAGAGGGGGCTCAGAAGTAAGGGAGAGGAGCCAGGAGTGAGTTGGGGATCCAGAGCCAAATGAAGAGAATGTCTCGGGAAGAAGGAGCAGTGACAACATGCACTGTGGACAGATCAACAAGAAGAGAACAGACATTGAGCACAGTTCCCTGCTGCCTTGGGCACCTGTGGTTCCGCCGGAGTGCTGGCAATAAAGCCTGAGAACAGTGGGTTCGTGAGAAAGGATAAGAAGAAGGGAATTGGAGTGTGAGAATAACCAACTGTTTCAAGAAGTTTGCTGTAAAGGGAAAGAGAAATGGGACAGTAGCTGGAGGGGAAGTCAGGTAAAGAGAGGGTTGTTTTGTTGTTGTTGTTTGAGTTGGGAGATAAAACAGCAAGGTGAAAGATTGATGGTACAGCGGAGGGAGAGAAGAATGGCTAGAGCACTGATATTGTGCATCTAGATGCAAAAATCCTCAACAAAATGCTTACAAATTGAATCCAGCAATATATGAAAGGATCATATACCATGACCAAATGAGATTTGTCCCAGGAATGCAAGGGTGGCTTAACACCTGAAAATCAACAATTGTAATACATCAATAGAAGAAAAGACAAAAACCACATAATCATCTCATAGACTCAGAAAAAGCATTTAATAAAGTCTGGCACCCTCTCATAATAAAAACATACAAGGGCCTAGGGATAGGGATAGAAAGGAACTTCCTCAACTTGATAAAGGGTATCTACGAAAAACTCACAGGCAACATCATACTTATGGAGGAAGACTGGATCCTTCTGCTCTGAGATCAGGAAGAAGACATGGATTCTCACTTTTCTCACTTCTATCCAGCACTGTACTGGAGGTTCTAGTCAAGCAATTAGACGAGAAAATGACATAAAATACGTCCAGATTAGAAAGGAAGAAAGAAGTAAATGTATCTCTTATTTGCAGATAACATGATCTCATGTACAGAAAATCTTAAGAAATCCACTAGAAAACAATTAAAAGTCATAAAAAATTCAGCAAGACTGCAAGATATAAGGTCAATACACACAAATCAATTGTATTTCTCTTTCAGGAGCAATGAGCAAACTGAAAATGAAATTAAAAGACAACTTCATTTACAATAGCATCCCAAAGAAAAGTATACTGAGTGGGCACCTGGGTGGCTCAATCGGTTAAATGTCTGCCTTTGGCTCAGGTCATGATCCCCGAGTCCTGGGATCAAGTCCCATATCAGGCTCCCTGCTCAGCAGGGAGTCTGCCTCTGCCTCCGCCCTTCACCCTGCTTGTGCTCTCTCTCTCTCTTGCTCTCAAATAAATAAATAAATAAAAATCTTTAAAAAAAAGAAGAGAATACTAAGGAATTAATGTAACAAAAGAAGTATAAAACTTACTACTCTGAAAGTGACAAAACATTTTTGAAAGAAACCGAAACAGATCTAAATAAATGGAAAGACATCCCATGTTCATGGATCAGAAGACTTGATCTTGTGTAGAGGATAACGCTCTCCTGTGGGTCTCTGGACTTCTGTGCCCAGCTCTGGGAACAGGGGCAGCACTTCCTAGCCAGCTCACTGTGAGAGGGGAGGGGAGGGGCCCACAGAGTAGCTAGGGCTCCCTGGCATTGATGGGTGCTTGCATGGGTATCTGGAGAGGACTGCAAGCCCTCAGGGGAGGGTCTGATGTTCACAGGAAGGTGCTTGGCAACACCAGTTGCACTGATGAGTGAGAGGAGGCAGAGTGAGCACAGATTTCAGCACTGGGCTGTGTTCTCATGTGATCTGGCTCTGTCCTTGGCTTGCTGTGTGACCCTGGGTATGCCAGTTACCCTCTCTGTCTTTTTCTGCAAAACAGGAATAAGAGTGTCTTCTTTGCAGGATTGTCATGGAATTAAGAGAGAAGATCAATGCCAAGTGCTCAGCACTCTTTTTTTTTTTTTTTAAATAACAGTGGATTTTTAAAAAAGATTTTATTTATTTATTTCACAGAGAGAGAGAGAGCACAAGCAGGGGGAGCGGCAGGCAGAGGGAGAAGCAGGCTCCCCGCTGAGCAGGGAGCCCGATGCGGAGCTTGATACCAGGACCCTGGGATCATGACCTGAGCTGAAGGCAGACGCTTAACGGACTGAGCCACCCAGGTGCCCTCAATACTAGGTAGCCCTGACTCATTCAGCAAACACAGCACACCTGCCCTCTGCAGGCAGGGAATGTGCCAGGGCAAAAAAGAGATCAGAGGGAGCTTCTTTCCCACTCCCCAGATGGCCACTAACCAGGAAAGTTAAATCACAAGGCACAGAGCAGTGGTTCCCAAGTGTTGGCTAGCATCAGCGTCGCCCAGAGGAAGGCCTATGAAAGTAGACTGCTGGCCCCGCCCGCAGGCTTCCAGCTCACTTGGTGCCCTAGAATTTGTATTTTGAACAAGGTCGCAGGCACTGCTAGTGCTGCTGGTGAACCTGTGTTTTAGAAGGTGGTGAGTACAAACAAGCAGTTTTAAATACAGTGGGGAGGGCAGGACATTCAAACAGTGTTGGGAGGTGAGAAAGCGAGCAGGGAGGTCCGGCGAAGGCGCACCAGACCGAGGCGACAGCCTGGGCCACAGCAGAGCACGTCCGATATGATCTTGAACGAGCACAGAGGCAGGTGGGCCTGAGGGGCGAGGGACAGGGCAGATGGGAAGGAGCCTGCCGCCCAGGCCTCCTACTCCCAAGTGAAAGGGGGAGGGGACGTTGGAGGGCTTTGGGCTGAGGAATGACGGCATCTGATCTACAGCTGAAAAGGGCCATTCTGACTGCTGACCCCTGCGCCCCCACGCCAGGGACAATGATGAGGCGAAGCCAAGACACAGATATTCGGGCTTCTCTGGGCAAGAGTCAAGGGTGCTTTTGCTTCGGTGGGTGGCGGTGAAAGTAACCATGTTCTGAGTCTGTTTTGAAATAGGACCGACGAGCCCTGGATGGGTGTGAGAGAGCGGGGGCCGGCAGGTGGACTCCGAGAGGTCCTACTGAGAGGCCTTGGGGACAGAGCTGTCATTAGCCAAGAGGGGAAGACTCAGCATAGAACAGGTTTGGGAGGTCACAGCAAGACCGCAGTTCCATTCTGGACATGTTTGAGTTTGAGGGGTCTATTTGTCATTAGACCGGGACAGGGGCTGCATGGGCAGCTGGATGCAGGAGTCTGGGGGCCAGCGCTCTATGACTAGTTGCACGGTAACTATCCCATTCACAGACCAGCAGGCACTGCCCTAGCACAGCCCATGTGGTCATCGTGTTAGACCTGCCAGAATCCTCTCTACCACCCCCCCACCCCAATTCCCCAGATGGACGGAAGTCGGCAGGTGCTCTCCATTTAGGAGGCTCTGGACTCTAATGGGCACTGCCATAATGAGCTCTAGATTATGCCCTGGCCAGGATGACACCCATCCCACATGGAGGGGAGGTCATTTTTAGTTGTGGGGCCTGGTAAGGGTGGGTGTTCAGAAATGTCCATAAAACTGTCCTCTTGGGGCAGGGCTGAGAAGCTGAGGGTCTGCCCTCCCAAATAAGTACCTCCCACACAGGTGGGAGAACTGAAGCTCAGGAGGAGAAAGCAAGTCGGCACCAGAGCCCACATGTCCACTGGGAGGGTCCACCTACTCCCAGAGCAGGTGCCTTTAACTGAGCCCTTGGGCCCTTCTCATTAAGGGGGACAGTGCTGCTCAGACCCAGAGGGTCCCGGGGCCGTGGGAGCTCCAGGCTTCTCTGGCAGGTTTAGGGCAGGGCGGGGCATTCCTTGGCTCGCGGCCCTCACCGGCATCACGAAATGCCCTTCCTCCCTCGTGCTGGTGAACTCTGGGAAGGCAGCACCACACGGAGCACAGAATTTGGGGGGGCACCAAAACACTCAGTAATCAAGATGAACGTTTCATTGTAATATTTTTTTAATGAAAATTAATGTAAAAAGTCCATGACGTTAGTTTCTTCTTGCTGCTCAACAAATTGCCACAAACTAGCTCAAAACAGCACAAATTTATCTTCTCACAGTTCTGGAGGTCAGAAGTCAGAACTGAGTCTTACAGAGCTAAAATCAAGGTGTTGGCATGGCCTGTTCCTTCCGGGGGCTCTTGGGAGACCCTGTCCCTTGCCTCTGCACCTTCTAGACGCTGCCCTCCTTCCTTGGCTGTGGCCCCATCACTGTGGTCTCTGCTTCCCTTTTTACATCACTACCTCTTCTATAGTCAGACTTCCTCTGCTTCCCTCTTAGGAAGCTGACCTGGATGATCCAGTATAATCTCTCCATCCTTAATTTAGTCATGTCTACCAAGTCCCTTCTATTAGGTAAGATAACACAGTCACAGGTCCCAGGGATTAGGATTTGGACATTTTAGGGGGGTCATTATTTAGCCTACAACACCCATGATAAACATCGAAATTTTAAATAAAGACGGGATCCGTGGGGTTAGGGTGAGGCGCTCACGAAGTCTCTGCAAGAGTAGGGTTGGAGCCTGTCATTACTTAAAATTTTGATAACTCGTTCATCATGGATTTTTTTTTGCATTTAATTTGTATTTTTAAAAATATTGCAATAAAATATTTATCTTTTTTTTAAAGATTTTATTTATTTATTTGACACAGAGAGAGAAAGCACAAGTAGGCAGAGAGGCAGGCAGAGAGAGAGGGAGAAGTAGACTTCCCACTGAGCAGGGAGCCCTATGCGGGGCTCCATCCCAGGACCCAGGGATCATGACCTGAGCCGAAGGCAGCCGCTTAACCGACTGAGCCACCCAGGCGCCCCTAAAATATTTATCTTATTGAAGTTTTTGACACCTCCTTAAATTCTGCACCTGTGGGGAGTGCCTCATATTGCCTCATCCTAGCCCCAGCCCTGCTTAGTAGAGCAAGAAGAGGGGCCCTGCGCTGCCCACTCAGCTTCCAGCCACAGGGCTCCCCCAAGCCCCTCCCTTAGAGAATTCTGCCCACAGACCCCTGTGGACCTCTGTTCCTCCTGCCTGGTGTTGCAGAGCCCCCAGCTTTGCTTTGCTTTCCACCCGCGCTCCTGGTATATCCCTGAGGCTGGCTATCCATCCCACTCTTCAGACTTTGGAAGTAGGGGATTGTGGGCTCACTTCACTGGGACAGCATCCTGCCCCGGCGAAGAACGCATCTCTGCAGAAAGGTAATTTAGGTTTTGATGGACGGTCTGTCCATTTACTAGCTGTATGACCTTAGGAAAATTCCATAACCGCTCTAGGCTTTACCAGCCACGTCTGTAAAATGGGGACATTAATACTTAGCTCTCAGGGCTGCACCAGACACCTGACTAAGTCCCAAGCACCAGCTCTGCAGGCAGGAGCCCAGCTTTAGATACGAGCTCGGCACTCCCCGCGCTGGGTGACCCAGCCGAATTACCTGACCTTCCTAGGCCTCCGCTGCCCCACCGGGAACACCTGCTTCCCAGCCTGCGGGGGAACGGGAGCTGCTCGAGCGAGTCCTCTGCACCCCCCGGAGGACGGGACCCCCGTCGGGAGCTGCTGCTGGCATTCGAGCCTCCGGAGCCTAGTCTCATTGAGCATTCGGGAGAAGGGGGTGAGACGTCTGAACCGGGAGCTCTTCCCGCGGGCCAACTTCAGGCGTGGCATCTCAGGAACTCGCGAGGGCCGGCCCTCCCTCCAGGGTCCGGGCCCGGGGCGGGCGGGCGGGCGGGCGGCGGGCAAGACGCTACCTGCGCGCGTGCCGGGCATTCCTGCGCCGCCGCACCGGGCGCGCCATGGGCCTGATGCCGGCCGCGCGGGCCTTCTCCCGCTGCTGCGCCTGCCCGCCGCCGCCCTGCCGCCTGCCCGCCTGCTGCGCGCCCGCCGCCCCAGGTAGCGCGGGACGGGGTGCGGGGAAGCGGCGTCCCGAACCCCAGCCGCGGGCGACGGGGGTGCGGCGCATGTGTCTCGCGGGGTCGGGGTGCCCGGCGCGCGGCCGGTGGGTCGCCGGGCCCGGGGAGCGGGGCGCGCGCGTGTTCGCGGCGAGGGGCGGAGGCCGCACGCCTCTCCTCTGTTGTGCCGCGGGGTGGCGGCCCGGAGCAGAGCGGGGACCCGTCCAGGGTCATCCCCGCCACTACTGAGGGGACCGAGCGGGGTGGGAGCCTCGGGCTCCCGACTCCAAGCCCAGTGCTCGGTCCACGTTTGCCGCCCCCGCCCCGGGCCTCAGGAAGGCCACTGTGCCGGGGCGTGGGGCTGCCTACCCCCCGGGGGAGAGGGATCCCCTGCCCTGGGGCTGGCTCGCCCTGGGCAGGACACCGGCGCCGAGGTGATGTTCGCCTCTCGCTGTATTTCTCTCTCCTGGCTGATGTCAGCCTGTTGGTTGGTGAGGCCCGGTTTCAGCGCCCCCCTCCCCCCCCCCACCCCCCCGGGGCCGCTCTGAGCTGCACCTAGAGCAGGGCCAGGCGCATGGACACACACCGTGCTGGAAGGCTGGGTTGACAACCTTGGCAGCAGAGCTGAGAGCAAGAAGGGACTTCCCAAAGTCTGCAGCTCCGGAGAGAATTTAATAATGTTCTTCCTCCTTGTGTCTTTTCCCTGATGTGGCCTGGTCCCCTCCCCCATCCCGCTGCCCCCCAACTAGACAGAGCCCCAGGAGAGCCAGACAGGCCTGAGGTCTCTGCTCAGGAGTCCGCTCCAAGAGGGAACACCAGCTTCTCCTTTCTCCTGGGGCCTTCGGAGCCCACAGAGCTCTGGCCCTGGCCCTGGGCCGGAGCTCCTGGGTCAGGAGAAGGCCACGTGTGTCGCATACCTGCTTCAGCGTGCCTGTCGTGGTGAGCTCTGCCATGGCTGCTCACAGCCCCATAAAGTGGCCGAGAGACTGAGGACTGTGCCCAAGGTCATCTGGGACAGGGGCGTGAGCCAGCCGACTGCCCTGCCAGTGGCCTGTGACTTCCTGCTCCTGCCTGGGCTTCTGGGGCAAGGGGAGCGAGAGCGGGGCTTTGCAGGGGAGAGCAGGCAGGGGGGAGGCCCGGCGCAGGCCCGAGCCCAGCAGCAGGTTCATCCAGAGGGAAGGCAGCCTCTGCCAGTTTCCTCTCTGGTGGCAGAGCCGGTACTTTGTGAAGAGCGTGGGCTGGGACCTCGAGGAACCCGCACACTGGCTGGGTTTCCAGGGATCTGACGAACCTACTGGAACTGGTTCTTGGCAAGGTTCCCCCTCCGAGATGTGCCAGGAGGGCTGAGGAAGTTCAGGCGGCTGCTCCCGGCCCCACCCGGCTCTGCCAGAGAGACCCTGGCCTGGGGAGGGGTGGGCAAGGCCCCGGCAGAAGGTGGCCCAGCCCTGTAGCCCGAGTGCAGGTGGCCCCCGGGAGGAGGACAGCTAGGAAGGAGGCCCGAGGAGGCTGAGTTGGGGTGAGCTTTCCCGCGGTGCTCCACAAAACCTCTCTCCCCAGAGGGAGGGGAGGGGGCAGCTAGCACCTGAAGCCTCCACAGTCTCCTGCAAGGCTCCCCACAGCCTTGCTGGGAATATGGGCTCCGTGCCAGGCCTGGTGGTGCCTCGGGCAGGGCCTCAGGGCAGCCTCTTAGAGACCGTGCGATCATCCCGTTTTATAGATGGAGAAACTGAGGCCCAGGAAAGGAGGCCCCTCCTCTCCTCAGTAGCTCAGCTGGGATGTACACCCAGACCAGTGCACATGTAGGCTCAGAATCTTTGTCTTCATGGCCTTCAGTCGTGATTGTCACCTGCCTGTGTCTCCACACCTGCCACCCCGCCCCCGCCCCAGCCCAGCCCAGTCACCGGGCTCAGCACTTGGAGGGCCTCTGGGACAGTGTCGTCATATCCCAAAGCCCCTGGGCAACACAGGAGGTCAGGGCTCACCACGGCGGCTGGTCCTCTTCAGCTCTGCTCCCTCCGGCCCCGCCTCCGACCCCCGTGGCCCCCGTCAGACCCCCACCCAGCTCTGCCCTGGGGCCTCTGCCCCCACGCCCCACTCCCGCCTGCCTGCCTATCTCCTCATCCTTACACCCCAGTGTCCATGGCACCTCCCCCCCCCCCCCCCCCCCCCCCCCCCCCGATCGCCCCGATTTGGAAGCGCTCCAGGCCCTGTGGACTTCCTTTCCTGGCTCCCAGCCCTGTGTAGGAGGGCGGGGTGAGCGGTGAGGAAGGGCTCCCGGGGGTGGCCTTGGCTGTGCTGAGGTTGGGAGGGGACTGTCAGAGCTGGGGGCCCGCCCTGAAGCGGCTGCCCTCTCTCTGGCCCAGGTCTGTACCCCAGAGGAAGGTGGGGCGGGGCCTGGCCTGCCTGCCACGGTGCATTTCCTCCTGGGGGGGAGGGGAGGCAGCGAGGGGCGTTCAGCCGAGTAGGCCCCGGTAGGATTTGGTGTCTCCAGCCCTCGGGAGTGGGAGTGGACCGAGGCCATCCACTCCCTAGAGCAGGGTGAGGCGCAAGTGTGAGGGGGGTAGAAGGGTGGGTGGGCGGATGGACAGACAGAAGGATGGCGGATGTCCCGGGGACAGGAGATGGGAGAGCAGGAAGGGCTAGAGCCTAGAGGAGGCTGGATGGGATTACCCCATCTTGGTGGATCTCTGGAGGGAGTTTCAGAATTCTTCTCCTCGGTGTCTCTCTTCCCTGACTGTGGCCTTCAGTCACCTGTGAGCCCAGCGTGGGGAGCTGAGTGCAGGAACTCTGGATGGGTCATGCTTCACTCGGTGCTCCCAGGTGCTCCCAGGCCAGCACTAGCTCGGGAATGCGGGGGGGGGGGGCAGGGGGGGGCTCCCAGTGAGGATGCGGGCAGAGGTGAGTGTTCACGCACTCACAGCTCACGTAGGAGGGGACATCCGAGCTGTTCCCGAGGGCTAATAGGAGATTTGCGCAGACTGAAGAGGAAGGAGACCTCCAGGCAGAAGCCGGTGCACGGGCCGGGCAGCAGGAAAACAGACGCATTTAGGGCGAGTAGTGGGTAGAGCTGACAAGAAAGGGACGTGTGCGTGAGTGGGGAGGGAGGCAAGAGGCAGGCACTGAGGGTGCAATGCCAGGCTAGCTCCCCCCTTTTGGGGACCCTCTGCTCATGGGCAGTTCCCCCTGTATGTCCTCTGCCCGCTCGTTTGAGGTCCTAGCAAATGCCTCAGGTCATGACAGGCATGGTTCCCCATTTCTGCCTCCTGTGAATCAGGACCGCTCTCCTCCTTCATCCTGACCGCAGTACCCTTGGGGAACGTCTGGGCCATGGAGGTCAAAGCAAGAGGGGTGAATTCCTGTCCGAGCCACATGAGTGAAGTTCGGGCTGGGTGTGAGGCAATAGGGCGCGGTGAGGACTGGGGAGAGGTGGCAGGTGATGGGTTATCACGGGCACAGGGGCCGCTGGACTCGGCCAATGTTGCCATTTGGGAATTCTGGCCTAGTACTTGCAGATCTGTGGATTTTTTTCAAGAGAAGCTGGAAATCCAGATTTTTATATGAAATCTCCTGATTTTAAATAACTAATATTAAAATGGTTCACACATCACCCTAGCTGAACAGGAGCATTTGGCCCCACGTGGCCCACTGTTGAGCATGGGCCATCGTGCCCTGAGTGAGGTGAGTGGGGACAGTGGCTCTGTGGCCCCGGGACCGGCAGAGAGGCCCGGACGCTGTTAGCGGCGGGCCCTGGGGGCGCCTCCGACGGGCTTCTCAGGGCTGCCCCAGGCAGCCACGGAGCCAGTCTCACGGCAGCCTCAGCCCCTGCTCTCGAGGCTCTTGACTGGCCCGCCAGGCCCCACCCCTGTGGGCAGGGGCCCTGGGCTCTCCCCCGAGTCCCGGGAGGCAGACAGCTTTTCCTTTCGTGTCCCGTTGTGGTCTCCGCTTCACCTCTGCCCACTGTCTTCACGAGCAGACCGGGGAAACGGGAAGCGGGACTGGTGGGTGGCTAGCAGCTGGGTATCCAGCACCAGCGTGGGTGGGGAGCAGCAGTGTGGCCTAGAACATTCTCTAGGCCCGGAGCCAGCCTGCGTGGGTTTGAACCCCGCCACATGCTGAGTGAATTTGGGCACGCGTCTCCGTTTGTCCGTCTGAAAAAAGGGGACGGAGCTGATAGTGATGCTGGCGGAAGTAGTCCCTCAGTTATGGAGCGGCATGAGAATCGTGCCCCGGTGTCCGCGCAGCGCCTAGAGCAGGAGCCCGCACCGTGAGCGCGCCCTGTTGGCTGCGTCGGCGCCGCCCTCAGGCGCACGTGCTCGGACGTGCACACACGCGTCCACTTGCGCGCATGCGCGCGCTGCTTCCTAGCGCGTTGATGGCATCCCTGGATGCCCTCCACATGGGCATGTTTTCTAGAAGGGAGAAGTCTCACTCCCCCCCTCCATGCCCCCCCCCCCCCCAGATTCTGTGTGCTTTGTCCTGGGGTCAGGCAGGGGCCGAAGGAGCTTGCACTGAGTCCTGCTCTATGCCAGGCACCGCGTCAGGGGCTGCTGTAGCTTACGTCAAACTCGCCACCGTGCGGGGAGCCGAGTAGGTGCCCGGAGTCCTGCCCCTGCTCGGTGGCAAGGGAGAGCTCGCACTCTGCCCTGGCTCGCTCACCACCCGGCCTCGGTAGCCACGAGCCTGCGCACAGTGGAGCTCTGGCATCGTGCCTCTGGCACACCCCAAAAGCCCCCCTGCGGGGAAGGCTCTGCATCCCGCACGCATGTGGAAGACGCTGGGCATTTGAAAGTCCTTGTAGAGCTTAGGGCGGGGAGAAGTGTGTTTCTCCTTGTGTTTGTGTGTGTGTGTGTGAGAGAGAGAGAGAGCGAGCGAGCGAGCGTGCACGAGAGTGCTTTATGGACCTCAGCTGCTTCTGCTCTTTGCCCAGGCTGCCAGGACCCTCTCAGCTGGTTGTGTATTTAGTTGTCATAGGTCTTCTCAGTCTCGAGTTCCTCTACTTCTTCCTCTCTCCCTCCACCCCTCATTTGCTTTCTTGTCCTATGCTTTGGATCTCTTGCTTCCTGTTTTTTTGGTTTGTTTTTCGGTTTTTTGTTTGTTTGTTTGTTTGTTTTGTGAACATTATTGAAATGTAGCATACAGGAAAGTGTATAATTCACAAGTGCACAGTTTAATGATTTTTCTCAAAGTGAATATAGCTGGGTAAGCAGTGCCCAGGTCCAGAATCAGAGCACTACCAGCACCCCAGAAGCCCCTGGGACCCCTTCCAGTCACTGACCCACCAGGGTAACCATGCCCTGCTCTGGCTTTGCACGTTACACAGATGGAGTCATGCAGTGTGTACTCTAGGTCTGGCTTCTGCTCACGGTTTTTTTTTTAACTTTTTAAAAAAGATTTATTTATTATTTGAGAGAAGAAGGCACGAGCAGGAGGGGCAGAAGGAGAGGGAGAGAGAATCTGAAGCAGACTCCCCGCAGAGCGCAGAGCCTGATGCAGGGCTCGATTCCACGAGATCAAGACCCGAGCTGAAATGAGGAGTCAGACGCTTAACCAAATGTGCTACACAGGAGCCCCCTTTTTAAAAACTCTTAAAAATTGTTGGTAAAATAGAACTAAGATAAAATTTACCATCTTTACCATTTTTAAGTGTACAACTCAGTGGCATTAAGTATATTTGCAATATGCAGCCACCACACCATCCAGCTCCAGAACTCCATCTTGTAAAACTAAAACTCTGTTCTCATTAGACGGTAGCTCTCCATCCCCCCATCCTCCAGCCTCTGGCAACCACAATTCTCCTTCCTGTCTTTAGGAATTTGTTATTTTAAGTACTTCACATAAGTGAAATCACACAGTATTTGTCTTTTTGTGGCTGGCGTTATTTCATTGACACAATGTCAATTTATGCACGGTGTAGAGTGTCTCAGTTTCCTTTTGACTTTGAGGCTGAATAATATTCCATTATATGTATGTACCACATTTTGTTTATCCATGTATCTGTTGATGGACACTTGGTTTGTTTCTACCTTTGGTTTTTGTTTTGTTTTCCTTTTTTCAAGCAAGCTCTCTGCCCAACATGGGGCTTTGAACTCACAACCCTGACATCAAGAGTCACGTGCTCTACCAGCTGAGCCAGCCAGGTGCTCCCTACCTTTCAAATGTTGTGAATAATATACTATGAACATGGATGTACAAATGTCTGTTCAAGTCTTTGCTTTTGGTTCCGTTGGTTATTTACCTGGATGTGGAATTGCTGGGTCATATGGTAATTCTGTTTTACATTTTTGAAGGCACCTTCCTGTTTTCTGTAGTGACTGCACCATTTCCATTCCCTTCAACAGCGCACAAGGGTTCCAGGCTCTCCACATCCTCGCCAACACTTGCTGTTTTCTGGGGTTTTTTGATAGTAGCCGTTCTAATGCGGTGCGAGGTGGTACCTCACTGTGGCTTGACTTGCGTTTCCCTAACGATCAGTGGTGCTGTGCCATGAGTATGTTTTCACATCAGTGTGTCATCTGTCTTGTTGTGTGAGCTGCGTGCCATCTGTTTTTATCACCATCTGGTTCTGCACAGTATGAATAGACCGGGACATACCCGCTCATTCTACTGCCGATGGGCATTATTAGGTGGTTTCCCATTTGGAGGGATTGCAGAGTGCCGCTAAGAACATTCTAGAGTGCCTCTTTTTGGGGACATAGTCCTGGGTTTTTAAATGTAAGCCACTCCTGTTTGGAGGTTAGTGTTGCATAAATAAACCAATAAAAATAAACTTTAAAGGTTCCTCGGGCTTAGACAAATTCCGTAGCACAGGACAGGCCCCCTGCCCGCTGTGCCCTCCTGCTCCCTGTCCCAGGTGGCCCAGGGTCCAGCCGCCTGGTGTGTGCCCTCCCAGATTCTGATTTGCTCCCTCAGGGAAGAGCCCTTTGGGCCCTGACAGTGCCCCCTGCCACCCATTGTCCCAAGCGCCCTTTTCCCACTGCCGAGCTGGATCGCTGAGGGCCTGACCAGCTCCTCTCCGTGCTCAGGGATCTTTGGGCAGCGCCTGGAGGACACAGTCCACCACGAGCGGAAGTATGGCCCCCGCCTGGCCCCCCTGCTGGTGGAGCAGTGTGTGGACTTCATCCGCGAGCGGGGGCTCACCGAGGAGGGGCTCTTCCGCATGCCCGGCCAGGCCAACCTGGTGAGGGACCTGCAGGATTCCTTCGACTGTGGGGAGAAGCCACTGTTTGACAGGTGAGCTCCTGGGGGAGAGCGGCAGAGGTGGGATCACCTGTCCGTTCCCCAGGACACAAGCTCCAGGGGCCAGAGGTGGGCTGGCATCCAGGAAGCCTGGCAGCGGGGTGGTGGGTGGCACAGCTCCCCACAGTGGTGCATGGGCTCAGTTCGTGCCCCCCACTACCCCCTGGGCAGAGCACCAGGCACAAGATCACTGCAGCAGCCCTGGGCCACCTCTCAGGGCTGGGGCCTGCCGCAGACGAGGCGCACTCATGTCTACGCGGGCTCTTTCCACGGTGGATGCCTGTAAACCCAAGCCAGGCAGGGGAAAAGAAGGGCCTCTGCTGGTTCCATTTGGGACTCCAGGCCTCCTGCAGGGCCCCCCTCTGGGCTCGGCTTCCTCGGGGTGACCCACGCCCAGGCCCCTTCAGTGGCAAGATGGGGCAGCAGCTCCCCCATTCTCTCAGACAACGGGGGTGGGGAGCCAGTGCCCATCCCAGCCCATCACTGGGGCTTCCCGGGTCCGGGGCTGCACTGTGTGGGTAGAGTCCACTTCCCTGAAGAGCCCGAGGGCTGTGACCCGGGAGATTGGGCGAACTGGGGCCTCTTCTCCCTGACGGCACCCCACCCATTCTAGAGCAGTTTTCATAGGAAGTTCTTCCTGCATCAAGCCAACCTTGGCCTCCGTGGAGCTGCCCTTCTCAGATCTGCCCTCATAGTCAAGGCCCCCTTCTGCCCCCAAACCCATGGGTCCCTGCTGGCAGCCCTGGCCTTCCCAGCTCTTCTCTTGGGGCAGAGCACCCCCGTGCCTCCAGCTTCTGCCAAGACCCATCACTGCAGCTAGGAGAGTCTGTCGATAGATGTGGAGCCTGGGACTGACCCCATTCCCAGGGGAGGTCTGCCCTTAGGAAAGAAGAGATACTGAGGAATGGAAGCGTTATCTTGCAGGCGGAGAAACTAAGGCTCTCGGGTTAGCCACCTCTTTCCAAGTCACACCTACAGTAAGGGAGGAAGCTGACTTAGACCCCTGCGCTGCCCTCCCTGTCTGTGTACCCAGTCCCCTTCCACCACATGCTGCGAGCCTGATCCTGGGGGGAGGGAGCGGGACAGGTGATGGCACCTGCCCTAGAGGGGCTCACAGGCTGGTGGGCATCCACAGAGCCGTGGGCCACAGAACATTCTCCTTGGGTGCAGGGGTAGGGTGTCTGGGTTCAGGGTAGGTGTGTGTAGGAGGGGAGGGTGGTGAGGGGGGGTGCAAGAAGTACCAAGAAAAAGCCTTAAGCCACTGTTCAAAGGGAGAGGCTCTGCAGTGAGTAGGGAAGGAGGGGAGAGGATGAGGAAGTGTGTTTCTAGACAGGGAGGAAAGAAGGTGAGGCAGCCAGGGTGCTGGGCCAGGCTCCCTAAACCAGGGTGGGGCAGAGGATCTGGACATGACTGACTGCAGGGACCTGTGGGGCAGGGGGCTGTGAACTGGAGCTGCTGGGACTGGCTAGGGGCCAGGCCTCCTGGGCCCAGAAGCACTGAAAGCTGAGGGTATGCAGGAGAAGCCAGGGTGGGGCTCCAGCCAGCGAGGCTGGCAGAGCAGAAGGGTGGAAGGGCTGCTCTGAGTCCACTTGCCCAGGACAGAAAAGCTTTCACCTCCCCCACCAAGGGGAGACATATCAGTAGGGCCTTGGCCACACGTCTGTGCTTTCACTGTCCACGTCTTCCCTGGGGGCAAGCCTGCAGATCCTCCCTGCTTCCTGCCCCTCCACTCAGCCTCCTGGGGCTCTAGTTCCTGCAGTGGCCAGCACTGAACCCACAGGGCTCCAGCGGGGGAGGGGCCACTGGGCTCAAGCCTGGGTGCCCCCAGGGGCTGTGAGCACCCAGGAAGTGGGCGGTGTTGGCAAAGGTGGGGAGGGGGCCTGGGGGAAGGCAGTGGAGGGCATGGGCAGCAGCATGCCTGGCTGGAGAAGGTAAGTGGGAGCAGCGACAGGGGCCGTGTGGCCAGGCCAGACTAAGAGCCACCAGGCCTGAGGCAGGGAGGGGCCCTAGGTCTGCGGGCCTGAAGTATATATGGGTATACAGATCTCTAGAATCCCAAATGCCAGAGCCAGAAGGGACCTTAGGGCTTAACTCAGCGAGACCAGCCATGGAGAGCCAGGGCCATGGCACCTTAATGGCATAGCCACATTCTCCTGGCCCCAGGCTCATCTTTCCTGAGTGCCTGCCACGGGAGAGATGCAGGCTCAGGGTTTAAATCCAGGGCTCTAGAAAAGCAGATGAAATACCTAGGGCCCAGGCCCATCCAGGAAAGCAAGCTTAGAGGAGGTGCCAAGATCGCAGTCCAGGACCTGAACCCAGAGGCCAGTAGGCCCAGGGTTGCTGCCCTCCACTGGGGGCAAACCAGCTTGGGCAGCTCCAAGCTGGGGCACAGGAGACTGAGGCCTCCAAGAGGACACACAGGACACTGGGGCGCTGGAAATAGCATGATGAACATAGAAGCCCAGGCGTCTATAATGTGAATAGGAACCCAGAGGCTGAGGGATAGGGCCTGACCTCTGACCTGCCCGGCCCCTAGTGGCCAGTGCCCAGGGATGCCTGCTCTTCCCGGGAGCTCAGCAGGCCTGCATGGCAGGTGCCTTTGACATGGCCCCTCCTTCTACTGGTGGGCTAGTCGGGGGGTGGGGGGAGCAAGCTCAGGCTCACGTCATGTCGCATGTGGACATGAGGGCGGAGGCTGCCCCTGGGGGAGTGGCACAAGGTGCTGGCCACTCCTGGGGTTCCCTGGTGTCCCAGGCCTCATGCATGTCCCCCTGCCCGCAGCACAACAGATGTGCACACGGTGGCCTCTCTGTTGAAGCTCTACCTGCGGGAGCTCCCCGAGCCCGTGGTCCCCTTCGCCAGGTACGAGGACTTCCTCAGCTGTGCCCAGCTGCTCACCAAGGACGAGGGGGAGGTTAGTGGCTCCTCGGGACCCATCCTGGGAGGTGGGCCTGCTGGGAGGTGGGTGTCTGGAGCAGGGCACAGACAGACATTTAGTGACTTCCGGGGCCCACAGATCCTGGCCTACAGCCTGCTGTGTGAAGGGCCTGGAGCATCCTGCTCTATGTATGTCGGTGAGGGGTTGGTTGGAGCACCCTGCTGTGTGTGGGAGGGTGCCCGGAGCGTCCCCTGTCTGTGTGCAGGCCTCGGTCTCTGGGAGGGGCAGGTACCTCCTAAAGCAGGCTGAGTTCCGGCTGTGGTTCTGAGTGCCTGGGGCCCAGGTGTGGGCCCCAACACAGTAGGGACTCCTGCTGTACCACCCAGCTCAACCTCAGGCTACCCAGGCCAGCCACAGGGTTCAGAAACCACCAGACCTTTCATCTATTTATATCCTGCCTCCTCCCAAAAGAATTTGAGGCTGCTTCCAGGACAGAGGGCTCCCACGCCTACCCTCGCCCTCTCCTGCAGGTGCCTGCCTGCAGCCCTAGCTGGCTTTGGCTGCGGAAGGACCATCTGTCGACCTTCTGGCCCTGTGGGAGACGAGGGGTCTTTACCTGGCAAATATTTGTGCCTCCCTAAGTGTGCTGAGCCGTGGCCTTGACATTCCTCCTTCGCCCTGCAGAGGCATACCCTTCACATCAGTTCCCCAAAAGTAAATCTGCTTCCCCACGGCTGGCCTCCCTGCTCCTCAGAGGGAGATGGAGGTGGGGGCGCCTTCTGGACACCTGGGGCCTGGCTGCATGGGCCTTGGCTGGAGGTCTAGACTCGGATTCCTGTCCCCACTCCCAGCCCTCCCTCCAGCCTGGAGTCTCATTGCTGGCCTTTGAAATGCTGTTTTTCTCTTTCGATCCCAAGGGGACTCTGGAGTTGGCTAAACAAGTGAGCAGCCTTCCCCTGGCCAATTACAACCTGCTCAGATATATCTGCAAGTAAGTGACTAGGGGCAGGGAGCTCCCCTTCCCTGTGCTCTGGCTCTGCTCCCCTCACATAGGGGGCCTCGGTCATTCTCCCACCCCATCTCCCCGCCATGTGCTGATGGAGCCAGCGAGGGGCATAACAGAACACAGCCCCTGTGCTCATGGAGCTTATGGTCCCTGTGGGAGCAGGCAGTGTTAAACAGTCCCCAGGGTAGCATTCCCGAAGAGAAGGGACACACCCTGTGTCCCTTCAGCCTTCTCTGGGTGCCTCCCGCCATCCCCTCCCCCAGGGGTCTGCCCCCCCCAGCACACCGGCCTCGCCCCAGGAGCTGGGAGAGGGCATGCAGTGCGCCTGAGGGCTCTGGGCCTTCGCGGGCCTCTGTCCCCATTGCAGGAGGGAAAGTCGTGTGTCCTGCTTCCACACTGACAGTGGGCCCTTGTCCCGCCGGCCTCTGCTTCCGATGGCCATCTGCTGCCCCTCAGAGGGGGAGGCTCTGCCCTCTTCTGAGTTTGCCAGGGGCAGCTGGCTACGCCCAGCAGTCGTGGACGCGTGGACATGGCTGGGCATGGAGGCCAGGCAGCTCCCAGCAGATTTGGCTTCTGCTTCTTCCTTACTGTACAGGTTTCTGGATGAAGTCCAGTCCCACTCAAATGTCAACAAGATGAGTGTCCAGAACCTGGCAACTGTTTTTGGACCCAACATACTTCGGCCACAGATAGAAGACCCGGTAACCATCATGGAAGGTAACGGTGGAGGCGTGCGTAGCGGGGCTGGGTGCTGCCCAGGGCTGGCCTGTCCTCGGTCGCAGGCCCGTCCTCAGGAGCATCACCCTGCATCAGTCCAGCCCAGGGCCAGGCTGGTGGGAGGGGGCTCCGTTCCAGGGGGCCCTCTCCTCCCCCTCCCTGACCCCATGGGGTCCAGCTATAAAAGGAAAAGGAACTTTGCCCTGTGGATGGGGTCATTGGGAGCAATTAGGATGGTGGGAGAGACTGGGGGATGGACGAGGTCAGTGCCCTTGCCCTTGAACATACACTGATGTTTTTGCTTTTCTTAAGTAAATGTTATTAAGTAGTTGTCACGGGCTCCTGGATGTCAGGGCCGTACCTTGGGGAGTAAATAATGACAAAAAATAGCAATAGCAGCTGTTTGCGATATGTGAGGGCCTCTAGGAGTGCCTTCCTTGTGTCACCTCATTGTCAGCTTCACAAGTTCATGATGTGGTTATCGCACCCATTTTACAGATGGGGAAACTGAGGACAGGAGAGGAAAGGTGACTCTGTCAGCCAGGTTTACCAAAGGGCACAGGTGCAGGCTGTCCTGGAAGCTAGAGCCCATGCTCGGAGGCCCCGTGGAAGACTGTCCCAGAGTGGTTAGTGTGGGAGTCCTGCTGCCCACGGACGGGAGCCCCACAGCCAGTCCCGGCTGAGGTGTGCAGAGGCAGGCCAGGACTCACACAGCACAAAGCCAGCCGGAGCTGCTGCCCCTGGCACCAGGCAAGCTGAGGCCGGAGTTGCCATTCCTTGCTGAGCATGACCTGGGAGAGATGGGAATGTGGGGGTGGGCTGTGGAGCTCTGTGTCCCCCCAAGCCTAGGGTGTGGCTCTTGGGGTGGCACTCTCCCTCAGATCTCCCCCTTGGCCTGCCTAGCTCGGTCTCATCCCAGGCCCCCCAGGTTCTCGGCCTGCCAGGTGGAACAAATGCCCAACAGCAAACACGAGTTCCTGCTTCACCCGGTTTTCTGGCTAAGGATTCCTTATTTCTTTCCAGGATTCTTAGTTACCTCTAGTGGGAGGGTCCCCCAGCCACCCTTCCTTCCTTATCACCTGGAAACCTTCCCAGTCTCTGGTCTCTGGTGGAGGGTTAACGGGAGGGAACAAGGCAAGCAGATAGGTACCATGGTCCCACTGTACTGCCCCCCTTTCATCGCTGACCCCCAAATCCCAGTGGCAGGAACTACAGGCACACAGGCTGCATCTCAGGGGCCGTGGCCTGGAGAAGAGGTATTGTGTGTGTCGTGTGTGTGAGAGAGAGAGTAGGGTGGGGGGAGGGCGAGTTGTGCATGTTGGGGGGCTGCGTACATTCATTTGTATGTTGTGACCATGTGTACGTGGGATTGTGTGTGTGTGGGGGGTGTGTGTCCACTTGCACCTGTAAGACCTCTCTGTCCCTGACCCAGAGCCTTGTGACCCCACGAGTGCAGACAGTCAGGCACAGCCCTCCCTGGCAGTGCAGGGGAGTGGCGTGGGCAGGGGCAGTGGAGAAGGCTGTGATGTCTTGGTCCCGGTTTCCAGTGCCAGCCTGCCACTGGCTCGCTCTGTGGCCTCAGTGGGCATAGTGCCTGCTTCCTCCCCACACCCAGAGGGAGGGACGGGGCTGGAGGCACAGTGCCCCCTGTGTGTCCAAGGAAGGGGATTCGTGGGCAGGATTCTTCTGTCTGTGCTAGATTTGGAGGGTGTGGTGGCTGAGTCCTCTCTTGAGGGGCAGCCTGGTTCTGGACTGCAGGCACCCTGGGTTGGGTCTCATCTAGAGAGCCTGGACTGGAGACATCCACAGCCAGGCTTTCTCACTCTCTCTCTTCCTGGCAGGCACTTCTCTGGTCCAGCACCTGATGACCGTCCTGATCCGCAAACACGGCCAACTCTTCACTGCGAGGGCCGAGGAAGGGCCAGTCTCCCCGCGTGGGGGCCCACCGTGCACAGTGGGATGGGGCTCCGAGGAGGTCCCGAGGGATGGCCAGCCAGAACCCAGCAGCCCCAGCAGCCCTGGCCTGCCATCACACAGGACCTCGTCTCTGGATGGGGCCACTGTGGCAGCGCTGTCTAGAACCTCCCCCACGGGCCTGGGTAGCCGAGGCAGCCCTGCCACCACCAGCCCTGGGAAGAAAGTGCAGACTCTGCCCAGCTGGAAGTCTTCTTTCTGGCAGTCAGGGTCCCGTTCGGGGAGCCCGAAGGTGGGCAGCTCATCCCTGGAGGTGCCCATCATCTCCTCCGGAGGGAACTGGCTCATGAACGGGCTGTCCTCCCTGCGTGGCCACCGCCGGGCTTCCTCGGGAGAACGGCTCAAGGACTCAGGCTCTTCGCAGAGACTCTCCACTTATGACAATGTGCCCCCACCCAGCGGCCTCTTTGCCAGCACCCCCAGTGTGGCCAGCACAGCGTGGTCGGGGGCCTCCTCTTGCGAGGCGTCGGCCAGGGGCTCGATCAGCAGCTGCACGGCCTGCCGGGCCAGCGACTCATCCGCCTGCAGCTCCCTGCATACCGAGGGGGCCCTCGAGCCTTCCCCCTTCCCCAGTAGCAGCGAGGACCGCAGATCCCCGGACCTGGGCCGTGGCCTGGACGAGGTGGGCACCTGCATCAGCAGCAGCGAGCCCAGCGACCCAGGCAGCCCCACCCAGGACTATGCTCGCTGCTCCGAGGCTCTCCAGGGCCTGGTCACAGAGCTCAGGGCGGAGCTGTGCCGGCAGAGGACTGAGTACGAGACCAGTATAAAAAGGTAAAGGGCTGCAGCCATGGGGTGAGTGCGAGGCTGGCACCCCCAGGGCCGGGCAGAGCCCTTGTGGCCAGCAGTTCACGGGGCACCAGCTCTGGGTAGTCTGCCTCTGGCTCTGAAAGCAAGCCTCTCTGAGGCAAGGCTCAGAGCAGCCAGGCCCAGGAAGCCACTTTTCTGGGAGAATGCCCCCAGAACAGGGCTGGGAATAGAGGGGTGCAGTCCTATGTCTGGAAAAGCTCAGGAGCTACAGGGCCTGGTGTGCAGAGCTCCATAAATGCCTGCTGAATGAGTGAGTGAGTCAGAATCTCAGCCTGAGCTGCTCAGAGCACCTTTAATGGAGGGGCTCAGCATAGGAGTCCCTGTGTGGCCCTCAGGGAGGAGATGGGCCCCCTGAGATGTGCATGGACCCAAGGAAGTGTCCATGTGCAATGGAGGCCCCAGGCCAGCCTGGCTGCCTGACTGTGGTTGGGCCTGATATGGAACGAGGACTCCTAGGATTGTAATCCAATTTCCTATGAGGAAGGAGCTGGCTGTGCTGAGCCCTGCCCTCCTACCTTCCCTGGTCACAGGAGGATGCCTTGTGCCATATTCTGAGCCTTGCAAGTTTGCTCACAGATGGTCCTAGTTTGATCCTTCCAGCCTCCCTAGGAGGAAGGTGTATTCCAGCTCTGAGGCACCAGGTTCTCCAACCAAGGTCACCAGCAGAGCCTGCACTGGCCAGTGCACAGTGCTTCTGCCAGCATCTCAGGCTTCTTAGCCCCTGGCCCCAGCTGTCTGACCTATAAATCAGGCCCCACCCACTAGCAGAAGTTGTTTGTGGGCTCTGACATCCTCCTTTCCCCATCAGAGACAGTGGAGGTGAAGCGGTTCCTGCTTCTCACTCTGGGCCTGGGATTTCTACAGGGAGCTGGAGGGGCAGCGTTTGGCCCTTTTGTTCTGCAGGAGGTTGGGGAGGGTCACGGCAGGCAATGTCTGAGCCAGGAGTTGAAGGACCAATAGGATTGGGCTGAGCAAGGAGGAGAAAGGACACAACATGAGTAAAACTGTGAGGTATACAGCTGGGGGGAAACCCCCACAAGTGTGAGCACTGGGTTGGAATTTACCAGGCAACGGGAACGGTGGAACACCCTGCAGATATGGAGAAAGATGATTACAGCTGAAGATGAGCTCACAGACAAAAACTACAGGATACATGGGAAGTATTACTAGGCGGAGGCTGTCATCATACAGCCTCAGAAGAGGCCAGAACCAGCTTCTCACTTCTTTAGCTCTTTGTGGAGCCAACTTGAGCTTCTAGCTCTTTCACCTTCTCAGAAGCTTGGTTTCTCAGGGGAAAATGCAAAGTTGTTCCGTAGAGGGCTCTAGATAACACTGCCTAGGGTCGAGTCTCTGGCCTCGGGTGACCTCACCTATTTGTCGTGAGGATTAAGTGCCACAGTGGATGGGAGTGCTCGGCACAGGGCCTGGTGCATCCAGAGTGCTCAGGGAGTTTTCACTGCTCACACTTCCTCCTGCTTGGTGGCTTGGAGGTAAGCTAAAGCTTGCAGAGGCAAAGGGACAGCAGCAGCCCTTGTAGGACCCTCGCTAGCAGAGTGGTCTGTGCTGTCATCCTGGTTGGAAGGGTGGTCTAGGGAGAGAAGGGTCTGTCTGAGCACATGAAAGAATGGAGCCCCATCCAGCGGGTCTTTGGGGAATACATCTGCACACAGGAGTCAGTCAACACTGCGTCTGGTCTGGGGGGTTAGGGGAAACCAGCTTTCTGCCCTGCCTCCCAGGACTCAGAACCCCTCCCCTGTGCCAATTCCTGTATTCCCAAAAGAGAATTCACTGAGTGTCTATGATGTGCAGACACTGTACGAGATGCTGGGGACACAGCCAAGACCAAAACTGATCAAAACCTCTGCCCTCATTCTTATTTGGTGGTGTTTGAGGGTTGGAGGCAGAGAGAGACCATAAACAAGATAGATTTTAAAAATCTATGGTATGTTAGAAGGTTAGATAAAGGAGGAGTACAAAGCAGGGTGAAGGGAAGTGGGGAGCATGGCGGGGAGAGGGCTGGAAGGCCATGCTGGGACAGAGGGAAGGCCAGGTGCAGAAGCCCAAGGGCTGTGGTGGGAGAGGCAGGTGGAAGAAAGAGTGGGGATGAAGGGAGTGAGAAAGGGGGGTGGAGTGTGGGGCTCTGGCTAGATACGTGGGTAGCATGGACCTAAGGGGCAGCAGTCAAGATAGAAGAGCCAGATTCTGAACATACTTGGAGGATTTTGCCAACTGGTCAGATGTGGGGATGAAAGAAAACTGACTTAAGGGACGACCTTTTTGTTTTGGTGGAGTAACTGAAAGAAGGTGTTTACTGAGTGGGACACCAGGACTGCAGAAGTGGTTTGGAGAGGAAGAGTCAGGAGCCACCTGTGGGCCTGTTAAGGTGCAATGCTTATGAAGTTTGAGTGGAGTCAAGTGAAGCTGAGGGGTTGTCAGCATGGAGATGATACTTTGGGTCTGGAGATGGGATGAGGTCACACAAAGAACCACATAGAGAGGAATACAGGAAGCCCAGGCCGGAGCTTGAGTGCACCAGGGCAGAGAGGAAGAACGAGCGAAGAGGGGGCTGGATCCAGAGGACATGCAATGAGGGGTCTGTGGGGTCCCTGCTGCCACTCACCTTGGGGGTTCTTCTGTCTCACAGCATGTCCCGTGCTCCACAGATGGCGGGCTGGGGCGCAGGCAGCTTTCCTGCCGCCTTCACGCTTTGTGTTAGGTGACTGAGGGTGGAGGCCTGGGCCTCATCCTGGACGGGATGGGGAATGGATACTTACTACAAAACACCACATTACAGGTGTTGTGCTGTGCGCTCACTGTGCGTGATCTTCTTTGTCCATTGTAGCTGTAGCTCTTGGGGGAAGGGCTGGCCCCTGCATTTTTTCAGAAAGGACACCAGGACTCAGAGCAGTTTGTGTTGCTTCATAAACAGCCGGCTGGGGCTCAAACTCCAGTGTGTTGGTTCCCAGGGGCTGGGCTCAGCATGCCCCAAAGACCGTACAGGAGGTAGTCATCTGGTCGAAAAGACAGACGTGCCAGCCTTTGTAGAGTGTGGTGTCAACATCCAGAGAAGCGTGTCTGTGGGGAGGATCCAAAGAAGTATCACTGAGGGTGGGACATTTGAGCTGGGGCGTGAAGGACAAGGAGTAGTGGAGGTGACAACCTGAACGGGGTTTCCCCTGAGTCGCAGTGCGTGGGAGGTGGGGCAGCCAGAGGGAGGCTGCAATATAAGGGGCCTCGCAGATGAGCAAAGGCGAGGGGACAGTTTCCTACTTCCCTCTCCATTTGGGGACCAGGCCTGCTTTCTGCCAGCCAGCAGCCCATTCCTCAGTGGACAGTTGGCTGGGCTGGAGGGTAAGTGGACTTTATATTTTAGTGATGACTCAGGGAGCCCCCCCCCCCTCCCCCGGCCTTGAGCGCCAAAGGGCCAAATGCTCATGCTGGCATTTCTGGATCACAGGCTGAGGAAAGGTCCTGTGGGGGTGAGTGCCCGGGTCTTTTGAGGAGCTGATGAGGCCTGTGAGGCCTGTCCCAGAAGCCAGGTCCAAGCCTGCATGTGTCCTTCCCCTCCGCCGGCCGCCTGACCAGCTCCTTTGGAAGGAATGCATGCAGGCACATGTTTGCTGAAACCCAGCCAGCCAAAGGCTAAAACAGTGTCTTTCTTCTTGATTTTAAAGACTCGAAGAAGGTAGTGCCAACCTGAGAAAACGAATGTCACGGCTAGAAGAAGAACTGGACCAGGAAAAGAAAAAGTACACAATGCTGGAAATAAAGCTGAGGAACTCAGAGCGGGCACGAGAAGACGCGGAGAAGAGGAACCAGCTGCTGCAGAAGGAAATGGAGGAGTTTTTTTCAACCCTGGGAAGCCTGACTGTAGGGGCAAGAGGTGACAAAGCCCCAAAGTGAAGGAGTGGAAAGAGCTCCCGTCCACAGGGTGCTCACCCGCCTCTGAGCAGAGATGGCTGCCAGCCTCACAAGGAGCCACAAGGCCCTGCAGCTTAGACGTGGGCTTCAGTGGTGCCAGGAGCTCTGGAGCCAGCTGGAGGGAGGAGTCCTGACGCCCCCAGGGGGACTGTTGGGAGCCCAAGCCCCACATGGGATCTGGATGCTGCTCCGACCATGCAGGGCCTGGCAGGTGTCTCGTGACCACCAAAACAGATGGCACCTGGGATCTGAGTAGCCCAGTGGGGTACTTTTTTGCATTCGTTATTAAATTTGCTACCATAGCATGATGTCTCGATGCCTGACTCCTTCTTTGTGGTCATGTAGAATGGGGGTTACCAAGTTGCTCGCAGGGTTGCAAGTCCCCAAGGTGTGCCATGAGTGGAATGGCCTGGGCTTCAGAAGTGGGTTATGAAGCACCCTGAGGAACACACAGTGTTGTCACAGTCACTGAAGCTGGATTTATGCAAATCTATGTTTTGCTCCATGTTCCCGCTGGATTTATGCAAATCTATGTTTTGCTCCATGTTCCCTGTGCCCAAGGCAAGACGATTTTCCTCAGTCAGGCCTTCCTTCCCCCTCTGAGCCACCTGGGCCTCTGCAGCTGGTGTCTGGCCTGGAATTCCTCTCAAGCCTTCCACCATAACCTGCTTGCCTTTGCTTGGCCCCCCATCTGCTCCAGGGCCAGAGCCCCTGAGTCAGAGCTCAGCATGGGCACTCTATACCTCACTTCTGCACCCGGGTGTGCGTGGGGGCACAGTGGGTGTTTGAAGGAAAAGAGAGCCACGGGGATGGGAAGTGCCCATTCTCTGTCCTCCAGGCGCCCCTCAGGCTGGGTGCCCTGTTTTCCTGCAGACTCCCCTTCGAGCTAGTGCTAGTCCCTCTTCCTTCCATGCCCATTTTACCTTCCTTCTCCAGCTCATCCTCAGACTTCAAGGCTCCATCAGGGCAGAGCTTTCAACAAAGTATTTACCTGGCCACCACCACACATGTGCAGGCCTGGGCCAGAGCTCCTAGGGATGGGACTTAGGGAGCAACAAAGGAGTGGCCTCTGAGCGGAGAGGACTGGCATCACTTCACTTACTCCTGCTCAGTGTCCTTACATATCACCTCTTGCTATCCTGAGCACCAAAGTGCCCCAATTTCTGATCACTATCTCTGGAAAAGTCCCTCAGGCCCAACCACCCATCCACCTAGAGTCAGGTATAAACTACAACACTGATGCTTTAAATGCCAGGGTCTTGGTGCTCCTGAGAAGAGCTGGCTTCATACCATGGCGTACAAGCCCACAGGCCCAAGTTGACATTCTGGTAACTCCCATAGTGGTGAGGCAGGCTGACCACAGGCCTTCTGCTGAGCCACCCATGGTCTTACCAACCAGGAAGCCAGATGCCTGCCAAGGGCACCCAGCAGCATCAGCAGGCAAGAGTTCTCTTGGGAAACTTTGAGGAGGGGGGTCAGTGGAGAGCAACACCCAGATCTACTCTCAGGCAATCTATAGCAGATGATCTGGGTTACCAGTTTCCCCAGAAGGTAAAATTCAAGGAGAAAGAGAAAAGAGGTGACTGATTCCTCAACAAGATAGGAACTGGTCCCATGCTCAGAGGAGAAACTGAGGCTAGGAGAAAATCGGTGGGAACACCAGTGTATTTTTATGGTCCTGGGCTCCCTACCATAGTCCTGGAATTATACCAACTTTGACGTGGAGAGAAGATACCACCAGGCTATCAAAGGAGCAGGAAAGACAAAAGGGGGTTCACACGATGAAAAGGAAGTTTGTCTGCTCTTAGCCATTCATACTGGCAAAGGCTCAGCTTCCAGCCAAGGCCTGGCCAAAACCAGCTTGTGGACCACATCTGCCACCTGCTGGCAAAACCAGGATCTGCAAAGGCAATTTTTCTCCGAAAATCAGTAGGCAATATTCAGTAGAAGTTCTATCCTCCAGTTTCCATTTAACCAGCATATTCCATTCTATCCGTAAAACATACGGACTTCTGCCTGTGAAGCACGTTCAGCACCAGGGCCGATGGGCTTTGGCCTCGTACCCTGTCCCTATCCACTTGGGTTCTCCCCAGCTGAGTTACATTTCAACAACCTATTCCCGAACTGTGGATTCAAGTTGTACCTATTAGTGTAATGACATTTCAAATTAAGTAAACCAGTGAATTATGAATGTGAAAATATAGGTAATTAATGTTTTGAAGACCTTTGCATTTTTGGAATGCTTCAGAAAGAGCAAAGGCAAGTTGTTAAAAAATTGCTAAATTGTGGATAAATCAACCATGCAATAGCATAAAATTGGCAAAAATCTAGGATTCTGTTCTTAGATTACTTCAAAAGTGTTTTAAAATTTGTGTTTGGCTTTAAAGCAAAAACTGGAAGTTATAAGTCTCATACTAAAAAACAAAAAAGGAATTGGCTTAATAACAAATGTCCATTTTTTTTAAGAGTACAGTTTTTAGGGTGTGTGTGTGTGTGTGTGTGAGAGAGAGAGAGAGAGAGAGAATTCCTTGTTTTACCTGGCTGTTGAATAATGGACCAGGCATGACTGCTGTATACTCCACACTGTAAAAGGGCTTCGGAATGGAGTCCACGTATAAATGTTCCCAGGCCTGTGGGCAGTAAATGGAGTCAGCTGTTACTGTTACTGTTGTAACAACATGTTTCGTGGACTCCCCCTCCTTTTAATGCAGGGCCCCAGCCCCCTGGAGAGTTCTCCTAATATCCTATGTGGTTCTATCACAAAGGGACAGTTTCTCATTTATATGAGCCCACAGCTAAGTAGATATGATAATGCTGCTGTCTCTTACATTCTTGTCTCCACCAAGAGCCCCCACCTTTGCCAGAAATCGCTGCCCTTCCTACCAAGCCCATTGCCACTACTTCCATGTTCCACCAAGCCCTGTGACAGGTGGACCTCTGAGGTGCCAAAACTGTGTGGTGGTTGGTGAGAAAGGAGAGCTAGAGCCACAGAAAGCTTTTCAGCATAGAGCAAAGAACTTGGGCCGGGTCTGTGCAGCTGGAAGACCTTGGGGAAGTTAAGCTTTGTGGGTCTGTTCCGTCCTATCTAAAATGAGGATAACCTCAGAGAGTCGTTGCTGCGCCAGCAGGTCTAGGTGTCTCACATGTGATTAGGCGATGTTACTTTCTGCACTTTAGAGCTGAGTACTTTGGAAGCACAGAGAAGTTAAGGACCTGGACCACAACCATACACAAGTCAGTGAAGGAGTCAGGCTTCCATCCCAGGGAGTCTTATTAAGAGCCTGTATTCTTACTTACTCGTCCAAACTGAAGAGATGCTGGCTTGATAGTTTTAAAACGTTACCCCTATCATGTTTTAATGAGGTCTGTGCACAGGATGCAAAGTAAGTGCTATAAGAGACCTCTAAATCAGACGATGGCAGAGGTCAGGGAAAGCTCCCCGCAGATGTGACACCTCAACTGTTCTGTATGCTGATGTGTGTAACCAAAACAAAAGGGGTGTGTGTGTGAGAGAGAGAGACAGAGAAAGGAGAGGGGCGGGGGAGGATGGAGGGCTAGAGGTGGCAAGGATCTGGTCACGGAGGGTGGAATATGCTCTTAACCCATATGCTTCAGGAGAGGATTTCCCTGCTGCATATTATATCCACTATAGAAATCCACAAGGCCTTTCAATTTTGTAGGGATAGAAGGAACAAGACCTAGGTCACGGCTTTCATAGAACTTACATTGTAGTGGGGTAAGACAGAACATAAAGAAGTATTAAAAAGAAGACAACAGGTCCCAAATGGAGTCACTTATACTCAGCCACATTCCACGAAACCAAGACTTACAGTTTGGGCTCTCCCAGACTAGTTAGGTCATCTGTTGGATAGACCCCAACCATCCCCTGCAAGAAAGCAACCTTACAATAACCAGCCTGCTTTTTTGTCTAGTATAATTTCCTGCTCCCTTCTGCCTATAAAGTTTTTCATTTTTTACAACTCCTCAGAGCTCATTTCTGTTAGGTTGTATACTGCCCAGTATTTATGAATCATCGAATAAAGCCATTAAGATCTAAATTTACTTAGTTGAATTGTTTTTTTTTTTTTTTAACAGAAGTACACATAAACAAGATACATTCAGATTTTAATAAGTGCTCTGAAAAAGTTGATCCCAGGGCCTGTTTTAGACAATTTGGTCCGGAAGTCCTCTCTGAGGTGAATTTGAACAGAGACTGAAGGACAGAGAGGGCAGCCATGCAACCAGACAGCTGCAGGCGGAAGAAAAAGAGCTGTAGAAGTCCGCGTGAGTGCTGGCACCCCTGTGGGCATGGGGGACAGACAGGACAGGGGCCAGGCAAGGCCAGACACTGTAGGTAGGGCCTTGTCACCCAAGGTGGAATTATTTTAAGGGATGTAGAAACATTTGAAGGCTTTAAATCAATGAACGTGAATTGGCTTGTATTCCAACAAGGCTCTTTTGGCCACTGGTGGAGAGTGGATAAATTTGGTGGGGGTGACGGGGAGTGGCTGCAGGGAAGCTAGTCCGGGAAGTGTGGTCCAGGCCAAGTGTAGTAGAGTGACAGGCCAGCAACTAGACAGGAAAACTGAATGAGGGGTGAAGGGAAGACACCGTGCCCAGATCAATCTTTACAGAGGTCCTGATGTGAATAGGAGCAGAAAAATAGGGTAGCAGAGTGAAAGGGGGTGAGAGGGGGCCTTTTATTTATTTTTTAAAGATTTTATTTATTTATTTGACAGAGAGAGAGGCAGCGAGAGAGGGAACACAAACAAGGGGAGTGTGAGAGGGAGAAGCAGGCTTCCTGCAGAGGGGGGAGCCCAATGTGGGGCTCGATCCCAGGACCCTGGGATCATGACCTGAGCTGAAGGCAGACGCTTAACGACTGAGCCACCCAGGCGCCCCGGGAGAGGGCCTTTTAAAGATGGGAATTACTAGAGCATGTTTGCTGCTAAGAATGACTCAGTAGAAAGGGAAAGATGATGAAGAAATGAGGGTGGTAATGAGGAGAGAAGTCCGAAAAAAAAAAAAATGCAAGGAAGTGGAAGGGTTGGCTTCTGAGATAAGAACTGGGAAGACAGAGGACACGGACATGGTTGCAGACAGGTGTGTGAAAATGCATACTAAAGTTTTTAAGAAGTCCTGAAAAATGATGAACATGCTCACCTGTAAGTAGGAGCCCCGTAACTTACTTGAACACAAAAGCCTTTATTCACATAGAACTTCTCAGTCTTCACTTTGTATCCCCTGTAGAGCATTGTGGTTACAAACTGAAGACTATAGCCAGACTGCCCAGATTCAGATCCTGGCCTCACCACAGGTTGGTCAAGTAGCCTTGAGCAAGTTACTCTGCTTCTCTGTGCCTCGGTTTGATCACAAGAGGGGAAAGAACAGTTCTTACCACATAAAGTTGTAAAAAGTCTGTGAGCTCTTAAGAAGCACTTAGTGCCTGGCATAGAGTAAGCACTCCATGAATCTTGTTACTAATTCAACACAGAGCCACCTAGAACTGATGCTAGGTATTGAGTCATTGAAGTCATTACTTTGGCTGCACCATCTGCCCGTCCTCCACTTCCACATCTCTGTCTCCCCTTAGTGATCTACTGGTGTCTTCCCGGTTCCCTTCTTCCATAGTAACCACTTGAGGCTTGGCATGCCTCATTCTTGATGTGCCCTGCACCTCATCTGTCATTGCTCTTGGTGGAGAGTTGTGTATTTATTTAGGTTTCTAAGGCAGCTGGTAATGGATGGGGGGGCATATCATCGTCTTCTAATTTTGTAAGAGTCACCCTCTTCTCCCTCTAACCTCTTCTGAGAAAACAAGAGCCTCAGAGAGTTTAGGCAACTTGCTGTAGGTGAGGGAACTAGTGTGAAGCCAGGATCCTACTTTAGGTATCTGGCATTAGAGCCCATGCTCACATTACTACAGTCATTTCAGAGTGCTGTATATAGTTTCCTTATGACACATTTTGAGGGCCATGAATATTGCATTTCAGAGGACAGAAATAGCACAGATAGGTCCTAGTCATTGGCTTACCCAGCCCAACATTTATTGAATGCCTACCTCCCAGGCATTATTTAGGAGTCAAGACAGGTTCTTCCATCCAAGGGCTTCCAGAATGAAGCTCTAGAAGAGAAGCACACAGGGTGCCCTCACAGAACGTTAAAAGGCCCACAATATGTTGCTGTCTTATATCCTGTGGGAAAAAAAGGGAGTGAACAAATGAATAAATGAGTTAGCAAGCATGCACTGGGTATATGAAAGAAAAAGTCATGGCAGGGAAGGTTCATCAGAGAATTATCTGAGCTAAGTCTTAAGCAATGAGGATTTAAAATAGGCAAATGCAGGAGTAAGCAACCAAACCATGTGCACAGAGATGTAAAGTATATGTCACAGAGGAGGTTCAGCTGGAATGGGGTGAACGGCAGGAATGTTACATGAAAACAGAACCAAAACAAAATGTTTAACTGTTCTAATTATATATAAAAAAATCAGTATTGATTTTGAGGCATTTCTCTCAAATGAGGCATTTCTCTCAATTACTCTTACCAACCACACAAAGACTGGAACTACTTGGGATGGAAAAAAATGACTTGGAAGGTCAGAGTGTACAAAAGTTCTCAGGTGGGAGACCATATAAAATTCCTTCTTTGCTCTTCGACATTTCTCTACATTAAACCATTTCTGTTCCTTTCCAAGGTCAAAGCCAGCAATTGCATTTGCATACACTGATTATTTTTTATAAAAGTACATGAAGTCATCATTATAGTAGCCCTGTGAGACCATCTCCCATCCTCATGTGACAGATGAAGGAAGCAGCACCAGGCTCAGCAAAATTGAGACTTGTCCAAGATTGCCTAAACTCACCATCTTGAGCTCAGGCTAACCTGGATTCATAGGATTCAGTAGGTCCCATCCTCTCTGGGACCTTGTCTTGTCAAGACACATGTGCTTTTAGTTCTTCCTTTTCGTTCTGATCCTTCAGTCTATTTTTCTCATGTCATGATTCTATTCCCTGACTTTTCAGAAGTCCTCTTTACTGCTGCTTTACCACTCAATCATAACTATGTCCCCACCTATCCAGGTAACCCTAAGTCTTACATATGTTATACCCAACAGGAATCCCCTTTTTCCTTCTGTCCACAAAATGACACTAACGGAAATGGAGCCATACAAGCAAATGACACAGACCTCACAATGGAAGAGACTGGAGAGGTGTATAGGCAATAAGGGAGAAATTATTCCTTTCTTTCCACCCTGAAACACTAAGTGGCAAGCTGATGCCATACCTGACGTGTGTTTCATCATAGTCTCTTCAAACTATGATGTACAAACTGGAAAATACATCGTTGGATGTTACTTTCCCTGCACATCTTGTGTACTGCCAAATCCTTAGGGCTCAGCCCCAAATGCTAATCTTGGCCATTTTACCTAGCTAATGGCAACCTGAGTCCTCTCTCTTCCATTCTCACTGTGCAAAAAGCTCCCTCAGCAGAGTATCTTTGGCTTTCCAGTCACCAGACCTCCAGTCTAACCAGCTTGCTCCCACAATCCGTGTGCCTCCTAAAACAAGGGTCACATTACTCTTTCTCACAAACTACAAGTTCCTGCTGCCTTTAAAAGGAAGACAATTTCTCCAAATGTTTCAATTCTGATCCCCAACTTCTCAGACTTCCCTCTCATTGTATTCTCTTCATATACTCACATTCATGCCAGGCCATTCCACCTTCCTTGCCCATGCACACACTTTTAAACCTCCTTGCTTTCCCCTTAACCTGGGAATACCCTTCCTTACACCAAGGCTCAAAAAATGCCTCCCCTGCAAAACCCTCATTTCCTCTGATCAATCCCTCCCTGTGTTCCTTCAGCATGGTTCCTGTTCCTCTACACAACATTATTCAATCAGGCTGACCAGACTGTCATCCATTTTTGTATCTTTCCTTACCCCCACCTTCCAACACAGGATCTTAGGCATATAAGCATTCATCAACTGACGAAATTAAATGTTAGAATTCTAACATTAACAAAGCATATTTGAAGTATTTTAGTTTCAAACAAAGTCCAAAGGCATTTGGTACGTTAACTGTAAAGCTAAAAAAAATGTTAAACCACAAAATCAGTACAAATCAATTTTTATTTACATGAAGTCAATGGACCTTTGAAGGAACAATACTAAAATAAATAGAGTACCTAGACTAACAAGGATAACTACTCCCATCTTACTTAGCATCACTGAGGTATTACAACTGGATGAATACTGACTCAACACTTTGATGTCTGCTTTTGTCACCCAGTCTCTCCTTGGGAGGCCTCTCCAATGACTGTGATAAAACAGAGTGAGTGCATGCACCAGGTTGGCAACCACATCGGCTGATGGAGCAGCACTGATCACGTAAAGACCTACCTATCCCCTGTCCCGTCCTTTCCTCAAAGCAGGGAAGTTTGAGTGCAGGTGAGGGTGGGGACAGCATGGATAAGATGGTTTTCTGGAGCAAGAGTTGAGCAAGATAGAGGAGTGTCGTCATACAGAGACATCCTGGCCAGCACAGGCAAAGAGAATATAAATATGGCGAAGGTGAAAATACACTCAAAGCTGAAATCCCCAGTTTATTCTTAAATAGATCCTCTTTGAACTTATTTTTACCAAGTGGCCATGATGGCTGCTCTCCCACATGGTTACCAAGGACTAGGTTAAAGGCACTGAAGAAAATTCCTTTTAGATAAAGTTTCTCCAGAGATTTTAAACACAAGAAAAACAAGACTAGACAAACCAGAAACCCAGGGTGATATTTTAGGCTCTTCACATTCTGTATAAATCCAAATCTAAGAAACCTGCCCTAATACTACTACCCCTTTAATCCCAATCCACAGGAATCTTAAGATTACCCAGAAAAACTTTTTACCACAAATTTACATTTTGTTTTCAATGAAAAAACTCTTAATTTCATATTTTTCATACCACTTTTTTCTTTTTTATTTAAAATATTATAACCAATTAACATACTAGGTAACAATGTTTACATTCCAGTGGTGCATGTTTAATGACTAGGGCATGAATGATTAAAAACCACAATAATTATCTCAGCATTCCCTACAAAGTGCCCCATTTTGTTTTGTCTAGAGGAGAGGAGAGAAGAGGGAATGGAACACAGGGAAGGAACAGGAATGAAGAAGGAATGGTATCATAGAGGGAGAGAAACAAATGTCAATTATCATATGCAGGTTTCCAGGTTTTAAAACCCGTTGAACAGGATAAACTGTAATGAGAAAATAGATGTCACAGTCCAGGTAGACAGCTAGTTCAGTTTAACTTCATCATTCAGCTAAAAGATTAAGAGCTTCTCAAAAATATACCAAATATCGGGCCTACAAAAGTAATTTATTTCTTCGTAAAATTTACTAAGATTTATTCCTTTTGTAAAATGTAAAGAATGGACTGATACCACGAGCAGGTTTCTACTTATAAAAACAGACAGTAATAATGTCCAACGAACACATCTAACACAATTTTCCAAGATATACAGTGAAAGATTTTCCATGTGAGTCTCTCTTACTGATGCAAGGTATATATTTTACACACTTACTGGTATTGTGTCAACATTGGCTATAAAGTATTTAACACACATTTATAATTCACACTCAGTAAAGAGCTTACAATAAGGGCAATAGCTTACTTGGGAAAGCATAGAAAATTAGTGTGAGGTAGTTCAATAAAAACCTAGTTTAATTTGTAAATTATTGTGAGAATAGAACATTGTGCAAAACTAATCCACAGGTAATATTTCTCAGAAGTTTCAGGAACGAAGAGAATCTAAACTAGAAATGGCCAGAAATTGTTACTCTTACGAGACTCTCCTTAAGAGCACTTGACTAAGAGCAGTTAGTTTGAAATTAATTAGGACGTTTGTTTTCCTTGTGAGTTTTCTAATCGTACCCCAAACTATACATTTCTGCTTCAATGCCCTTTACCTCTTCATCTTTCTTGCTATTAAGGAAAAATTAGTTTCCTCTGATTCAGGAAAAACCTAAGAGAGATCATAGAAACACAATGTACACTAACATGTAAAGGATACGGAGGCAACATTTAAGAGGGCTGCTAATGACAGAACAGTGAGTGGTGTTTGCTTTTTCTACTGAGAAGAGTTTACTGGGGTTATGGGGCTTCATGCATTCACTCTACAGCTAATGTGTGACTAATGAATAACACTCACAAACTACAACAGTATTTTTGAAAACAGACTATGTCTTTACCTCAAAATGTTGTGCAGGCTTGTGCCTAGGCAACACTGAGTAGTTATGTCTTCATATGTATAGCACATACTGGCCGACAGTGTAAACCAAGTCTTATCTGTAACCCCAAAACAGTTTCACTTGCCCGCTTCTGATCTCACTATCAGACACTGATGTCCTCTTTATCTTCTTAGACAAAACAGCAGGATTAACATGGAAGAGAATAATGAAAGGGCTTACAGTAAAGTTTGCTGCTTTGCATACCATCAAGCTTCTCTGTACTATAAAGGGGGCTGTGTGGGTAGCCTCCTCATTTAAGAGGCTGGCATTTCTCTTAGGAAGTCTCGTGTGAAGCACTGTGCCTTGAACCAACCTGGAAGAGTGCATACCAGGAACAATCAGCAGCCAACGGCGTGTGACAAAACGAGAACTGTTCAGCAAACAGTATGAAAGAGTTGAGATGCTCTATTTATGTATATTCTAAATAAGCAATCCCAACAACACAATTATTTTACAAATGGTCAGTATACATTAGAGAGTAACAGAGTAGTAACCAGGAAGAACTATGTAGAAAGAATTAGTGTCTCTTTCCTATAAAGCTGAATAATGAAATGATAGAAAGTTGAATAATAAATCAAAATAATTTTCTGACAGTAAGACAATGGGTATATTAAATATATAATGTTGAAAAACCAAAGTTATAAGAGAAGCAAGGTGGCTTTACATAAGTACTGCTTGACAGAAATCTTATTTGTAATTTCTCTTAAAAAAAAACAACACACAATGTTTAAGATGTTTTAAAGGTTCAAAAAGCTTGTAAAATCAAAAGAACCAGTACATCTTTAGCTTAACAGATTTAAGAGACGAGGGAAAGCTGTATTTAGATACTGCATTTTAAAAACCCAGGGCACACAACAATTAACAGCCTTTGTTTTCAGGACAGAATTTGTTCAGTATTTTAGTCTATGCTAACTAATAAGAGTTGCTTTTCTCTGCATCAACTGAAGCATGCTGGTTGGCAAGGGGGAGCTGGCATTTAACAAATGATACAGTAAGAACACCTGGTTTTCCTTGCTTAAGCAAGATCTCTAATCAACAGAGATGGCTTACTAGAATCAAACAGAAAATATGGGAAACTTCTGAAAGCATGTCAGCTGTTAAAGTGCAACAGCGAAACAATCTATCCCAGGGAAAATAAAGCTGATTAACTGCCAAATATAAACTAAGAACACACTCATGCTCAAATTTCTGCTAAAATCGTAAAT